TTCACAGGCACAGATGTTCAGACAGAGATTTTATACAAAGAACGGAAACCCAAATCGTTTAAGCTGGTAATATTTACACTTACCACGTACTGTAAAATTCAACTGGTTTACTACTTCTCTGATTAAAGCCTTCCAAAATGCACTGAAGGATTAAAATAGCTGAGCACATGAACCAGGCAGACATCTACATATTGTGTCATGATGTTTTGTTTGGCCTCTACTCCATTTTTCTGCTAGCCTTGAGAGATCCAAGGAGTTGTTATCTGCAACTTTTGGGGGGCAGGGAGGGGGTAGACAGTTTTTTATCGAACCAGCAATGTTCCACATTTCTCATAARAGGAATAAAAAATATGGTTGTTTCAAATGAACATATATAAAATGGACTGTAAAGACTTTCTGCTGGGAAATCATTGTGGGTTTATAGGTATGTGCTTTATTGTAAATCAGCTGAGCTAATACTGGAAGAATACTCCTTTAAGATGCTTAGATTGGTGAAAGAATAAAATGAGTTCCATAGATGTGTTTACAACACTGGCAGGGAAATACAATAATGTTACACTTGAACAGGTTCTAAAACTAAACTATCATTTCCTCAGCCCATTSAAAATTTGGCATGCTCTGCTCTGAGCAGCATTTCAGGTCTCATTTCTGGGAGTTTGACTGCTTTTATTTTTACATTCTTGAACTTTTAAGAAGGCAAAGTCCAGCTCCTACTTTGTTGATTGATCATTGATCAGTTATATTCACGRAAGGTGAATGTTCATGAAGAATGCTGTGTTCATCTCATCCCAAATATGACATATTTTAAATAGTATAAATATACTATTTTAMTGCTATTTTGAATCCTCAATCCTTTGAGTCTGAGCCTGGCTGTAAAAGCTGTGTGCATATCCTTTGTGACATGCTGTGCTCTAATGAAATCCTTAATTAGTCAGAACTGTAACAAAAAGGAAGTGCAACCCTGGAGTAATGGAATATATAAGGAGCCATGTTGTCCAAGTGTCTTAATTCTCCTTTAATTACGGTGGACACAATTTAGTGTCATAGTGTTGGTGGGGTAATGAGAACAATGACCATGGAAGAGACAATGGAAAAATGCCTAAAGCCTGAAGGGTGCTGGGGAATATTACTRTATTGGGGCTCTTTGCTCTGGGAAGCACAGGACAAAGAGGGTAGCAACAGCTGAAAGTAAAACATGCTGTTTTACCCACTTTGCATCCAGTGTATGAATGTGAGTTAACTCAGTGAATATCACTGGTAGCATTTTTCTGAGTAGGTGAAAAAATGTTCCTCTGGATACAATTTCTTTGCCTTTGGGTGAAAGTAATGCCATAAAGCTTTGCGAACTATACATTTATGCCTGYTATATCCCTTTCAGATGTATATTTAGGAATATGATGTTGTTTGTTCGTGAGTCCATTTCCACTCTGGGCATTTACCCAGAAAAAAAGAATTACTGACTAATATGTTAAAAATTAAATGTACAAAATCTAATAACATTATTGTATCTAAACTGAAATGGTAAAAAATACCAGAAATGTCTGATTTTGTTTAGACATCTCCAGGTTTAAAGCTTGCCATTTTCTTGTATACTTTTTCAGTTTTGAATTTGGATTGCTATAGCATGCTTAATATGTACAGCATACTTAGTAACCTTGGCTGTGGCTATAACAGCTTAATTATGTAGCTGGGTAAAAGGTATATACTGTCACCAAGCATTATAATCATTGTTACTGTGAAATTCAATCATTAGTTCACATTTGAAGTACTGTATGCAGCATTGCACACCCGTGTAAGAATGCAGGAGTGGAAAAGGTGCTGAGAATGAGAAATTCCTTACAAAAAGCAACTGAATAGATTAGGACTGCTGAATTTCAGAAAGAGATCCTGGAACTGGATTGTGTTAGCAATTGCAAATCAGACATCACACTGTGGTGAAGGAGAATACAGAATGATCATTCTTCRTTTATCACAAAGATAAATTTGGGACACATAGTGAACTTCTCTAGCTGCATGTATTACTATGAGAAGCACTTTTTCCAATGTAAAATGTACAGTCTTTTGGAATCCAAGATTAAAAAAATGCTAAAAAAAAGTATTAATTGTATTTATGGAGAATAAGTCCAGTAGTGGGTATGAAAAAACAGCTGAAGGAGGCCTTTAAATTATTGATTACATGAAAGCAGAGGATTCCTGGACATATCCCTGTAATTTCTTGGCTATAGCACAAAGATTTGGCAGAAGTTGCTACTGGCTACAAATTTACCTGAAAATCACAGGATCAAAGCACCGGAACTGGCCTGTGGGTGCTGTAATTCAGCTCCTCTGCCCTRGGGAAAGGAATGTGATACCTCATTTTTCCTGGTAGAGTTTTAGGCTGGGTCTCAGTGCTGCTGGGATCTCCTGAGGCAATCTGTTCCCATTATCACCTTTGTTGCCTTTCCTCTATATAGTTTTCCTCCTTCCATTTGGATTACCTTTGATTCAATTGAAACCCATGGTTATTTGTTGACTATAGACAARAACAGTCTGCTGCAAAGAGAAAAGGAACAGCTCTATATTTATTTATGTAAACTRTCTGAAAGTGTCATTATTACCTCCTGTTTTTCATTCCTTAAACTAAGCAGCTTCAGTTTCTTCAATCTTTCATAGTAGAATTCACTGAGAAGATTATGCCATTAATCACATCATCTCCACTAMAGATTCATCTATAGCTCACATCTTACTCAAAGTAAGAAAACAAAAGTTCATAACCTGATTTGCCTCTGAAAATTCCCATCTCAAAATTTTGTCTTACAACTAAATTGTATTGATGAATTTGTCTATCAGTATAAGACATTATAATATTACTTTTTGTTTAGTTTTRTTTTTATGTTCAACCTTAACTAGCTGGATTAAACCTTGTGCTGTGTCTAGAACTCTTTCACTGTGAAGATTAGTGGGTGTGAAATTACTTTACATTGCCTTCAGTCATATGAAGTATCATTTTATCTGAACCAATTCTTGCTACAATGAAGTTTGGCAGCCAGAAGGTTCTCTCCATAGCAGGTTGACAATTTTCACTATTCAGTTCCTATTTCTGCAAAATGATACATTTCTTATGTTAGTGACAACTTGAATTGCTTGTAGATTAATAGTTTTTAGTTGTTGCCTGCATGAGTGTCATTGGTATTTAAAAAAAAAAAAAACAGGTATACTGAACCATTGTAGAAATGATTAAGAAGCAATCCAAACAAGTGAAGCCTTACTTGTCTGATAACAAAGGACTATTAGTTTTAGAGTAAGTAAATTTTACTGCAAAACTGAGTTCAARCCAGARGAGTGTCTCTKTGTGTAGCCATTTYACATCTGAGGTAGAGCACATTAATSCATTGTATAATAYGGGCAGAGAATATTCACTGGAAAAATCATAAACTGATGAATAGCTTGTTTAGTTSGTCAAAGTCTGGCATTGTGTTACTGGATATGAAAGCAAATGTAGCAGCCAGAAAGACCATGCTGCATGTTGTAGGTTTGACATTATGTGGTATTAGGTTGTACAGCCTGTTGGATTTTAAAAGCTGATGCYAAATGGGGTATGCACAGGAAAAAAGACATATTAAATACAGAGACATCTGCTCCTGTTTTCAACAACATGGGAAAAATGGGTAACATATCACACTAATGCAGATGCTTTTTATTAATCAGAAGTTATAATTAAATGCAGTTTTTTCTGTGGTTGGTGATAAAAATGTGAGAGTGGCCTCAGAGGGGGCAAATGTTTCAGATTATGTAGACCACAACTGACACACAGCAGCACCAGAAACCTGCCCTGGCTTGGCTTGTGTTGTAATGCTGTATCCAGCCCATGTTTGCAAACCACACTGCAGCCCAGCCCGCCGTGTCTGCAGCCCGCTGCTCAGCAATGTGTGCTCCCTGGCAGAGGTGGGGCACAGCTCCGTTACCAGGCACCTGGTGCCTCTGACCAGAGGCAAACTGTGGAGATGGTAATCTTTTGCTATTATACAGTAATGTTTGAGGCAAAATTACTRATGGAAGTTACGGGTTTAGGTTCTCATCCGGTGAAGGGGGAAGTGACATACAGACAGACAAGGCCAGCTTTTCAAAGCTCATTCTGGGGTAGCTACAGCAGAACACGGCTGGAGAGATAGGGCAAACATGTTTGTGGACAGTGCCTGTTTCTGTCTCCCAGCTGAATTAGCATGCGTGTGTGCTTGTTGGTACAAAGCTTGTTCAGAGTATTGATAAACTACTTAAAAGATGCTCATTTAAAAGAATGTTATGTTTTTAATAATTGTGAGAATCAATTATTGGAAACCTGCTTTGGAAACTTGTGGTGCAACTAGTTGGTCAAGAGAAGAATTGAGTGGGTCATCTTGAAGTGGTAATGTGGGGACTGGGGTGAGAGTGGTAATATCAGAGTTAACTGTAGCAGCATTTTTGTTTGGTTGGAAATCAACCTGTCCTCTTACATTACTGCCTTCATAAAAAGTTCCACATTAGTTGGGAGTTCCTGAAATATTATTCCAACCATCAGCACTCTATTGTTGAAGCATCAGAGTGCAAGAGAGCAGTTAGTGTCTGTTAAACCGATTTCATCACCAAAAATGATGCTATTTCCTGCTTTTGGCAATATTATAACACATTTTCCAGCTTTGCATCATGTTTTCCATTGCTGAAAATAAAATCTATTTCAATCCAGATAGCTGAAAAATCCTCAAAACCAAAAAAAACCCAACCCAAACCAACCAACCAATCAACTAACAAAAAGCCCAAACAAACCCCAAAACAACCAACCCCAAACTTTTTTTCTGAATGGTTGATGGCTGCAGGAGACCTCCTCCTATACTGGCAGTCCTTTGACAGGCAGGGTAAGACAAATTACATCTTATGTCATTCCATTTCACTTGTGACTGCCGAGTGCGTGGCCCAACACCAGGGTATTCGTGCTCTCGTCGTATGGCAGTGTGTATCTGACTCTGCGTGTGTTGTGTTTGCAGGTTCCGCAGAGGATAGAAGAACAAGGAGATGCTCCTGAGGACAGCAGTGCGGGAGTGCCCGGCCTGTGGGGCAGCTGGGGGCCCTGGTCCGCCTGTTCGCGGAGCTGCAGCGGGGGGGTGATGGAGCAGACGCGGCCCTGCCTGCCCGCCTATTACCGGGAGCGSGGCTACCGCCGCCCGGGCCGCCACTTCCCGGCCTCGGACAGGGCGAGCGCCCACCACAGCRCCCACCACGAGGACTCGCTGTCCGCCTACCCCGGCCACGTCATTTCTGCCATCCGCACCTCCGTGCCGCTCCACAGGAGCGAGGAGCAGCACTGGGCTGGGCTCCGGGCCGCCTCCCCCGGGGCGCGGAACAGCAGCCAGGGCGGCMGGGCGGCCCTCAGGGGCAGCCGGCACTCGCAGGCCCCGCGCCACAGCGCCAAGCCCGAAAAGAGGTACGAGCACAGCTTCTCTGGCCTTGGCGATGACGAGAGGTTAGAGCTGGTACTTTTCACACTTACAGGATAGCTAGTAGAGACTAAGACTGGTTTCTACCATGTTTACTGCCTTCTGTGGAAAGTTGCCTTCCTCTGAAAAACATAAAAAGAGTATTACCTTGAGGCAGTATTCCAGCCCGACTGGAATAAAACAGTAGAACTCTGTTACTGCTGATAAAGACATTCTCAACCCCTACAAGAAACYCTGTCCATATAAAAGAATATTTGAAAATAGAATTAACCTGCTAACCTCCTGTCTGCCTCAGTGAAGCAYGAGTTTCAAAAATTGGGACCAGCTGTTCAAATGTTGGTTTTCCCAGGTGTTGCCCATTTCCTTTGTCCTTGCTTTGTCTTTCTATTAAACCCATGCAAATGRTAATCTAGACCTGTTGAGTATAAATTCAGTGTGGCATTGATAGGCTTAGAGAAGTTCAGAGAGTGCCAGAGACAGAATTAATAGTGTTAACATGGTTTCAGTGAGGCAGAAGTAATGTTTTCTTTTTCGTGTTTTCCTATTTAATTATTTGCTATAATGCACTTCTGTTCTCAGCTGTGCMGTGTGACAGCCCCAGGTTGCGGTGCATGGCTGGGTTATTGCTAACACTGGGAGCCTGCCCTTCATCTGTCTGCACAAAG